TCACTGGCTTTAATGGGACTACTCATACATGTAAATGTGAGTGTTATCAACTGTGATTAATAGAGTTAATAGCAATATCCCAATGGAAATAAAACAAAACTTCCAGGAAGCCACTTTGAAGCTCCGTTCTTACTATTTATGGTGTATGTTTTATATTTTATTTCTTAAGAATCTAAGTAATATGGAGGCATTCTAAATAGAAAGGGGTCTAAACAAAATTCTACATTTTCTGATAGCTGAATCAATATATTCTGACTAGGTAGGCTGTAGCTAATGTTACAGAAAATGGAACTGAATTTAAACTAAATGAACCATAAAGGTCTAAAAACAAAGATTATCTGATTTCTAGTTTTTTCTCTGAGGCATATTCACCAGTTTACTGTATTCTAAAGTTATACACACTTGTTTTCCAGTATACCAATGTGCAGCAGAAGATGCACATTAATATCCTGGCGTTAGGCTGAAAAATCAAATGGATGATAAATAATGCTTCTGAGTTTAAAATAACCGATCTTAGTCTGATCTTGTTGGCACTACATCAGAACTATTTTCACTGTGGCAAATGGAGTTATGAGTAGTGTTAGAGAAGAATTTGGCCAATCAATTAGCATAGATGATCAGGGAAAAGTTAGAAGATGACAAGGGAAACAAAAAGTCTCATTTCAAGTCTCAGAATCATAGTTCCAGAACCTCAACGATATTTAGGTGCATTGATTTCAATGGGCTATAATTGCTTAAACATTGAGGATTTGAGCCATGTGGATGGACATGAATAATTCTCATGATTATTTAGTGGGAGTTACATACATGTATCAAGAGGAAACTATCACATCTAATTAATCTATTTCTATGAAACTAAATCAAGTATATTTTATGTGTGTAAATAAATTTGTGTGCATATATCCAAAGACCACATAAAGATGAAATTCTTTCACAAATTTTACATGATAATTTTATTTTCAGTTTTCACTTCCTAAATTGTTTATCATAGGTCATTTTCCTTGTAATTCCATAAATATGAGGGACAAACTGGACACATTAGTCTCTAATACAGGCCTGGAATAGGAGTTAATGAGCAAGAAGAAATAAATATACATATGAATACAGCATAATAGAGTGTATAATCATGTATACAGTATTAACATACAGTATGAATAATGAAAGTGTGTTGAGTCATAAAAAGCTTATTGAATGTAGACACATTTATTGTCATCCTAACCATCTTTGGAATATGAATAGCACCTCTAACTAATAAATGATTGTCCAAAAATTTCTAATCAAAATGTTCAAGTAAAAAATATACAGTATTGAAATTTTTTTAAAAAAATCTTGTTAGTCAATAGGAGTGGCTACTACATGTCTAATTATTGCATAGCACATTCTGTTGGTAGGGAACAGAAGAAGTGTATTTTCAAAGAAGGTGCTGGATGGAAAATGCTCCAATACTTCATTTAAAGAAGGGTGCTTTTTCACACACAATTTTGAAAATGCACTCTATTCTTCCTGGTGAAACTTTCCCTTGTGTCATAGGCTAATGCATTTTTTTCTCTCTAATGTGTAGCTTCAGGCAGATTGAAACACATATACAAAAGGTACAAAAAGATACAGTCAACCGCATGATATTGTTGATTTAAATTTGACATTCATTACACTTCAAAAACTACACCAAGAGACATTTTCTAAAACCCCAATGTTGGCCCAACTGTTGAAGGTTCTATGTTTCTCCTGGTGGCTGATGCACCTTCAATTTCCACTGAATTCACAGGAACTTAATGGCCTTCAGTGCCTCATAGAATCAGGCCATCAATGTATGTAATCGTATAGATGAAATACAGCCCAAATTATATCATTTGTTAATAGAAAAGTGGTTCTCAAACTGTGGGTCATAATCACATATTAATGGGGCGAGAATTAGAATTACTGGGACCCAGCACTGAATCTGAAGACCTAGCTTTATCCCCGCCCAGGTTGGCAGGGATGGACCTCTGGCTCTCTTCTATCACCACCTGGGGCAGAAGGGTTGGGGCTTCAGCACCCCTCTAGCTCCCACCTGAGCAATGGGGATCAGGCTCTGACATTCCCCTCTTGAGATTTATGTGATAACTTTGTTGTCAGAAGGGGGTTGGGCTGCAATGAAGTTTGAGAACCCCTGATCTATACAATATTTCTATAGTAAGATTATAAAAAACACTCTTTTTTTTAACACAGCATTTACAATACCTGATGATATTTTGGGCCATATTGAACATGTGGGACGTGGTAGGGATATTACATTGCTCTCTTTGAATGAATTTCTTGTATAATAAACTAGAAAAAAATTAAAAATCATGAAATATATTTCTGTAGAAAAAATTCAGTTTCATGCATGCAAGTACTTTTTCTAGTTCACTTACAAATGTTTTATTTGGTATAGTAAAAGAATAATAAATATAAAGGGTTCTGAACTGTGCTTGATAAATAAAACATTTGTAAGTGGATTAAAATACATATAAAATCTGCAAAGAAAAAAACACATTTCAAATAGATATGAAGAATGGAGACTACAATCTGCTGAAGAAAGGCTTAAAGAGAGCTAGTTAACTTTCTTTTGGTTTGAGTAATATTTGTTCAGGTATTTATTTAAATATACCTTTTATATTTAATAATCTATATGTCTTACATAGACTATTAAAATACTATTACTATACAGCATGTGAAAATTAAGGACTGATTCATTAGGAAAATTATGCAGGCACAGTCTACTTTGCCATTGGTCACATAGCTAGTATTTATTATATTATATATAGTACCCCTGAGATCAGGTATATATAGTAGAAAAGTAGGGATGAAATCTTGCCTCCTTTGAAATGAATGGGAGTTTTGCCACTGACTTCATTGGGGGTCAGGATTCACTGTCAGGGTCTGACCGATACCCCCTTGAATAGGAATCTATTGATTTCACTGGGCAACCCTATAATGGCAAGAATAGAGTTCTGAGCTGAAAATAAGGATACCCTTGGCAAGAAAGGCATCTCTCCTGTTATACAAAAGGCATGAAGGGGACTAACTGCACCTTGGACCCAGTCTTACTTTCTGTGATCACTCTCCTCCCTGTAAAAAAACAAAAAAGCAAAAAAACAGAGCAATAGCAAATCCCTTATTATTTCTGAAATAAAAGAAATACTGGTTTCAAACCTGTAAAATACATTACTGTAATATTTTCCCTTTGAGAAATGTGTAATATATATCTACCAACATTTCTGTAATTTGTTTCCATGATCTGAGTCTATCTATCCCAGTAATTAAAGATATATAATAACCTATTATATCTGAGCCAAAAGTCAACAGGACACTTCATTTAGGTATGATACCATAGCAAGTATTAAAAGTGAAGATATGTGTAAAAACCCAAGCCAGTAAAGGGTCAAAACTTCTCCTGGTGGGCCAATGCTACAGCTGGTGGTCAACAGAGAAATCCCAGATTTCTGAGACTCTGATCCTAAATTTGCAATGTTTGTTTTAAATAATAATAAAATAAAAATATTACCATTAGAGTTTTAAAATATTTGGGAGGCTTTCTAATTACTTGCTAACATTCTTTAGGGGTTGTCTAAAGTGTAATTGATAGAAGATGACAGAACAAAAATACCAAATTTCAGAAGAAGATGCAATTTATGCTGAAAAAGATTTTCTACATGTTAAATGCAAAAACAAACAAAAAACCCACTAATATCAAAACAATACAAATAAAGATTACATAGAACATTTATTAAAATTGAAATTCTGTATTTGGTAGAAAACAATAAAAGCTCCATTTATATGCCTGTATAGGAGTAAAAAATATAGTTACCTATAGAGAAATTGGCAAAAGTTGCCTTCATCCCATTTTTGCACTATGTAAAAATGTTAGCCTAACTTACAGCAAGGTAGTCTGATTTTGCTTACTGAAACAAATTGTACAACTACTATTGACATCATCATTGGGATCAAAGGTTGGCCCATTACATTAACATTGAAACAAATCTCCCTTATCCTCGCTGAAAAGTCTTGGCAGAAGTACAAGAGTCAGAAAAGGAAGAGACTTGATATGAAATCTGATCCTACTGAAATCAATGGGAGTTTTGCCACTGACTTCTACAGCAGGATTTCACCCTGTAAAGAAGAGCAATGCTCATGAAAAGAGACCTTGCAGAACTTTCAGGATAGTTCACAATCCCTGCTCTTTAGTGTGGAGGGCTCTGGTATGTGGCTTTTTATGACAGAAGGTTTAATAGCAGAAAGTGAGTTTGGGAATAGTCCAGAAGTGGAGATAGCCTGAAATAATTCAATGAGAATAGGGTTGCTGTTGTATTAAAACTTGAAAAAAAATAAATAACCAGACTCATTGGTGTGAACCATTTCTTTGTAGTTAAAAAGGATAGTACAGAGGGAGAGAAAGCCAAAATAAGAAGAATTAACTGCATGTGAAGCTCTGTTCTTAAGAGGTGATTAAAAAAATAGCCATGTGGTAGCACGACTAACACCACTGCAATTAATGTGGTCCTGAACCTCACACTAGTATACAATTTTAGTGGTGTTCAGAAAAGGGCAACAAAAATTATTTAGGGTTTAGAATGGGTCCCAGATGAAGAGAGATTAAAAAGACAAGGATTTTTCAGCTTAGAAAAGAGAACACTAAGGGGGGATATGATAGAGGTCTATAAAATCATGACTAGTGTGGAAAAAGTGAATACAGAAAAGTTATTTGCTTGTTTCCATAACCTAAGAACTAGGGGTCACTAAATGAAATTAATAGGTAGCAGGTTTAAAACAAACTAAAGGAAGTTTTTCTTCACACAGTGCACAGTCAACCTGTGGAACTCCTTGACAAAGGATGTTATGAAGACCAAGACTTTAACAGGGTTCAAAAAAGAGCTAAATACATTTTTGGAGGTTAGGTCCATCAATGGATAGGAATGGTGTCCCTAGCCTCTGTTTGTCACAGGCTGGAAATGGATGATAGAAGAGGAATCGCGTGATGATTACCTGTTCTGTTCACTCCCTCTGGGACACCTCTGGGATTGGCCACTGTTGGAAGATAGGATACTGGACTAGATGGACATTTGGTCTGACTCAGTATGGCCACTCTTATGTTATTCTTATATTACACCTGTGTAATATGAGAACCCAAACTGACGTGCATCAAGGGAGACTAACTCTATGGCAGAGGTCCGACAAAAAGAAGCCAAGGGCAGCACTAACCTAAGTGCTCTTGGACAGAAATCATCACCTGTTTATTCTGAAAGCTATTATCCAGTGCTTCAGAAATCAGTTTAATCAAGTAAAGGGCTTGTCTATTTGCTGCTGATATTGAGTATTTTCCATTTATGAAGATGAAAAGCACCTTTTTCCTATAGATTACACCACTTTGGTTAGTAGTTTCATAAGACAATGGAGGGAGAAAATATTAATAAGGAAAATGCCAAATGACCCATTTGTCACCAATCTGAGAATCAAAAGGCCTCATCCAGGAAGGTTCTGAGACCTGTTTAATAGTACTATGCTCAGCACCCTTCATTTCCAAAATAAAGAGGGAGTTGCTTAGTGTTTCCCAGAATTAGGAGCAAAAAGAGGTGCAGAACACTAAAAAAGTTACTAATAGTACTACTTAAGAAATAAGGTACTTCTTAGCATAAGTAAGGATTCCACTGTGTGGCCCTTAGGCACAGTTTAGCTTATTCCAATGTTTTGATCTTTGGAAGTAAGGCAAGGCAGTGCAGGAACTGTGACCAACCCCCTGTGGGGACATAGCCATGACTACCTATTACACAGCACTGAATCTACTCTTAATTCAGCCCAAAGTGAGTAACAATGGGGTTTTTTTTCTTCAAGATTTGCTTGTCCTGTGCATTAGACATTACTGAGATTCCTATAAAATCACTAGATTTTTCTCTTAATTGTCCAGCTTTGCTGAAAGAGCATTGGAAAATGTCAATTTACCTTCCTGCACAGCATTGGAAGTGGATTTAGTATACTACTGAAAACAATGCTGAATTGTTGAAAGGAAGGACAACGTGTTGCTTCTGCTATGCAATACATTGTAGATTAAATATAATAGTACATCAAAAGCAAAAAAACCCCAAAACCCTGATGTAAATAATCAAATTAAACAAGAGTATTAGGGCAAGTCTACCTTAAATGTACACACAACTTCCCAATTTTTCACAGATTTAATTATTTATTTATGTTATATGATAAATGTATCTGAAAGTTCATCTTCTGTTTAGTTTATCAGTCTGTTTAATATGTTCATAAAAAGGGATGTGTTAAAATGTACTGCAAAATAGCATGTTTTTTTTCTGAATCAAGTGTCAATAGTGTATAACTAGTTCACAAATGTTGCATGAATCAGCCCTTTAATTTTCACAATTTGAGATGCATGCATATGGAGGTGCCTGCCTTCGATATTTATGAATAGCACCTTTCTTTACTCACCTAAATAAAACAGAAATATTTTAATTTCACATGCCATCATTTTGAAACTTCTACAAACATTAAATTAGCTTTCAGTATTAACTTTCAAGAGAAATCATAAGCAGATACTGTTTAATATTTGTACTTTTGTACTCCTTTAAGAAAAAATGTTTTTTTCAATTGAAATTGAATGTGCATTTTATGCAATACTGATACAAAACCAAAATCCAGTAAAAAAAAGAAAAAGTTACCACAGGCAGTAACAATGCCAGGTTTCCCACCTTGCACTGTCAGTATGTCTCAATTATTTTACAGAAGGTTCAGTTCTTGGCCTTTCTGCTCATACAGTCAACAAAGGAGTTAGTTTTGACTTGTGTTGGGAGGGTAGATGAGAATTGTAATTAGGTTACCTGGGCACAAGGACCCAAAGTTAAGTCTTAAAATTCCTTTTGCATAGGCTATCAAAGATAATGACCTTCTGCGAATAAACATATGGCTGTGATTTGAATTAATTACCAAAGGACTGATTGATCCAAAGCCCACTGAAATTAATGAAAAGACTCACTTTGACTTTAGTGGATATTGGATTAGGTCATGAGAGATAAAAAGCTGAACCATTCCTATCCCCTGAACCAGTTAGTCTCTCTCATTAATTTAAGTCTACGTATCTAGTGAATGAAATGTTAACTAGCCTTACAAGCTATGTACCACTGACATGTTCATCTTTTCTTTTTTAATACACACAGCTTTTTAAGCCAGTTTGTATTTATGCAGCCTGAGTGTTCTCAGAGTTAAAAAGTAACTGCTTAAATATGTGACCAGAGGACAAAATATTTTGGTGGGCAGAAGTTGACAGGCACTGGCAGTCCTGAGGGTTAAGACAGATGGCTTCTGAAACAAGACTAAACACATACTGTTGCATTAGAAGTTATTTTGGAACAAGATAATTTGTCATGGAAGACCGTAAAGTCTAACTTTATCTGACCTATATTGCCCATAGTCATAGCACATGAGGACTCATGGGAATAGAGTCGTTGTCTCTGAAACCTACAATTCTCATCACCAAAATAAATAAACAAACTGTAGATGGCAATTTGTCTGGAATCCTGGCACTGGGCAAATTTTTGTTCTCATCCAGTATTCTGGCTGATCATTATTTCTACAAAACCTGGCCTATATCTCAACAAAATACTCATAATAGAAGTCAAAAACATTGACATCTGAGCCATATTTCATATTAAATATTAGTTTCCCTTTCTGAAGTATCATTGAGTACTTTGTCAGCCCTGTTGGCAGCCTCCTCGTTCTCATTGTTGGTCAAAGGTTCTGCTTCCTTGGGATCAGCATTCTTTAATGCTTTCTGTTTTTCATCTTCTAACTTCTTTTCTTTTGCCAAAAGCCTGTAGTTGATGGCATTACCGATGAATAACCAAATGCTTGCCACAATCACAATTGATCCACAGACAATATACATATATTTATATTCTCCAGTTATATCCACCAACCAACCTGAAAGACAGAAACAAAAACAGAATAAAACTTGAAAATATACTGACTGTAGACAGAAATGAATTCCAGGTCCTTCCTTCCTGCTGGTATTATCAAGAAATATGCTGCATTCAAAGTACTTTCAATGCTATAGAAGTTGTCCAAGATTCGGCATTTTCATAGATAGATGTACAGTGCAAATCTTATATTAGCTAGATTGGCATGTATTGTATTTGATATCTGTAGTGAAATAACTGAAAGACTAAGGACACACAGTCTAGTCAATAATAGTAGATTGTATATTTTTCGGCTCAGGGCTGAATTCCACCCTCCCCCCTACTGTTGTTTTGAAATGAATGTCTCTCAGTGGGGGGAAGGGCGCACTGGCAGACAAGAGGTTGGAAAGGTGTCTGCTTTCTCAGCTCCTATCACCATGGGTCATTGTGCAGTTGCTATTTATGCTCCATTTATTCTGACCCCAAAGACAGAATATTTCACCTGGGTGTGCAGACACCACTGCCATGAAAACTGAGTTTCAAACTCTGAAGTGAGTCCCCAAACTTGTATAGGTAATTCTTCCTCACCTCATCAATGGAAATCAAATTTGTGACATCATGTCTTAACACATGAGTTATTAGTAGCTAAAAAAATGTGCTCTGCTATTCAAGGTTGTATCCGGACTATTAATCTCTAGATGGCTTTACCAGTATCAGAAGGGGACAGAATGCCACAATTAGCAGGCATGGTTAATATACATAAGCCATTTGGCTCAAAGAAAAAATGTATTCTGACTACCTTTTCACAGTGAGTCATTCTTGTATTTCTGTTGCATTTCTAAACTTTCAAATTAAAAGACAATCTCCCAGTAAAGAAAAGAGCATAAACACATATTTTAATTTAAGCACGAGTAGCCTTATTGAAGGGTTTATTGAATTTAAGCACGAGTAGCCTTATTGAAGGGTTTATTAATATAATTTAAGTACGTGCTTAAATGCTTTTTTGAACAGTGGACATACTAACTAGACCTGATTGAAGCTTGGAATTTCTGATCTGAGGGAAACTGCAACATTTAAAAACAAATTTTCCATATCAGAATAAAGATGATTTTTTTTCAGTAGCCTGCTAAATGAGGAATAAAATAAAATAGTTGAATACTTTAACATTACATTAATATTAGACTTAATATTGATACTGATTTCAAAAATGCTTGAGGGGACTGGATTTTATTAGTCATAGACCAAGTTCCTCCACTAGGTGGCATGCCAAGTGCCTGTGTTAGAGGAATCTGTGTGTTTCAACATCAGTGAGCATAAGATCAGATCAGATTCATTTGGAATTACCTGATAATTGTGAAATATTAATTTTAGTAAAATAAAGCATCAGATAGCATCATTCAAATTTGCATTAAGAGATAAGTTCAACAAATGTTATTTCAGTACAAATCATAGTCTGAGTCCTGGAAATATTTAGGGTGCGTCGACAGTGCACTGTTACTTTGAGATAACTATCATTATTTAGAAATAACAACGTGAGCATCTACACAGCCATTCCATTATTTCAAAATAATTTTGAAATAGTGGACAGCTTATTCCAAAACCTGTAAACCTCATTCTACGAGGAACAATGCCTATTTCCAAAATAGCTATTTTGAAATAAGGCGTGTGTAGAGGCTCCACTGCTTCTGTTTTGAAATATTCCCTCAGCGGGGCCATTCTAAGTTATTTCCAAAATAGCTATTTTGAAATAAGGCGTGTGTAGAGGCTCCACAGCTTCTGTTTTGAAATATCACCTCACCAGGGCCATTCTAAGTTATTCCTTCCCAGTGTCTCCTGGGGCTGTAAATGGAGATAGCATGTCTACATTAGGGAAGCCTGCCTGACTCATTTTGAGGTTTTTCTGCAGTTTAGATGTGTTATTTTGAAATAAACTATTTTGGAATAATTATTCCGGAAGGCTGTGTCTAGACTGGCCAGTTTTTCTGGAAAATCAGCTGCTTTTCTGGAAAAACTTGCCCGCTGTCTACAGTGGCCGCTTGAATTTCCGCAAAAGCACTGACTTCCTACTGTAAGAAATCAGTGCTTTTTGCGGGAATACTATGCTGCTCCAATTTGGGCAAAAGTCCCTTTTGCGCAAAACTTTTGCACAAAAGGGCCAGTGTAGACAGCTGAGATTTGTTTTGCGCAAAAAAGCCCCCATCGGGAAAAGGGCGATAGGCGCTTTTTTTGCACAAAAGTGCATCTAGATTGGCACGGACGCTTTTCCGCAAAAAGTGCTTTTGCGGAAAAGCGTCTGTGCCAATCTAGATGCTCTTCCAAAAATGCTTTTAACTGAAAACTTTTCCGTTAAAAGCATTTCCGGAAAATCATGCCAGTCTAGACATAGTTTATTTTGAAATAAGCATGCAGTGTACCCCACGTGAGCAGTCCCAATGACTTCAGTAATTGTACTTTCACTTCAGTATGTAACTGCTCGCAGCATTAGGATCTACACTGATAATTCAGACTTACAAAATGTAATATTGTTTAGTTCAATTGTATATATTTGTATATATTTAGTTCAAATTAATATTTGGTCTGTGAGTTTACAATTGGATTTGAGCACCCAATCCCCTTAATAACATCTTTTGAAAATTCCATCTCTATATTATAATTCTGAAAGTGATTAGTATACGAAAATCTTTTTTTTTAATGAAGACCAATACTCCGCTTAGTACTCTGAGGTCAGCATCCATCAAGGCCCTTTTGCGCATGAACCTTTGTCTACACTACAAGGTTTTTGTGGCAAAGAGTATGCTAATGACAGACTCATTAGCGTGAGTCACGATGTCATTAGCATAAGGATCTTGCACACAAGGAGGTTTTTGTGTAAAACAGAAGCAGCTACACTGCTTCTTTTTGTGCAAAAACCCCTTGCTCAAAAAGCATCGGCAGAAAATATGCTAATGACATCGTGATTCATGCTTTCACTTTCGAAAGAAGATATGCAAATTTGGTGTGAATTTGAATATCTTCTTCCGAGCACTTTTTCAAAAGAGGTTCTTTTGAAAAAGAAAGTAGTCTAGATGCGGTTCTTTCAAGAGAAAAAAAACTTTCAAAAAAACCGTTCTTCCTAAAAAACACGAGATTTACACGGTTCTTTCGAAAAAGGGTTTTTTTTCAAAAGAACTGCATCTCAATTACTTTCTTTTTCAAAAGAAGCATGAATTTGCATATCTTCTTTTGAAAGTGAAAGCAAGTCTCGACATGCCGTAGTAAAGCGCTTGAAAAAAAGGACTGGTAGGCTAGCTCTGAAAGCAAATATTTCTTATCATAGCTTGCCTATGTCTGAGTTTCTAACTATTTAGCTATATACCTAGTGATATACACCATGCATACTACCCACCATGAATGCCTAGGAAATATAATCTAAATCTGTGAAATGCCAAAAAAGAAAAGTAATGTTGAAGACGTCAATGCAAAAGAAAAAGCAACGAATACATTATAGTTCTTGTGGCAACATAAACATGCATGTCTAATACTTTAGATTAATATTATAATAACTTCACTATTTACAGTCAGTCCAAAGTCATCTAAAAGGAGAATAAAAAAGTAATCCTTACCTCCTAGAGGGGGGCCTATGAGAACAGGGCAGCACTCCACAACTGTGACAAGTCCCACTGCACTGGAAAACCTGGCAGCACCAACGAGATCCATCAACGATTCAAAAAGGACACTGCTAACCATTCCAAAAGCTAACCCAAAAAGTACAGCATAGGCCACCAGGCCTGTATAGTCCTCTGCCAGTGGGCACATGATATGACATATGCCATTGTACAAGACAGCAAAACTAAAGAAATATTGGATTTTGGGCCGGATATATTTGGAGTTTGCGACAAGTCCCATTGAAGGCCTAGCAAACATGTCTACAAAAGCTAGGATAGACAGCAGAAAAGCAGCTGAATATTCATCAATTCCCTTGTGTTTGGCATAAGGAGCTAAGAATACTATTGGGGCAAAGAAGCCAACAAACATAATAACATTTCCTGACAAATAAACTTGAAATCCTCTATGTTTAAAGAGAGATAAATCTAAGTATTTATTCAGGGTTTGCCAGAATGATTTCTTGTTATTTATGTGCAAGTCAGTATCTCCTGCTCCCTTCTCAACATCTTTTTTCACAGGAGGAATTTGTTTTGGTTCAACAGGTCTCATAAGTGACCCAGCCACACAGCAGTTCAGAAGAAGTCCTCCCAGAATGAGAAAGCTTCCTTTCCATCCAAATACATTAAAGAGGAATTGATTGAGAGGTGCCAGTGTGCTCAAAAACACTGGACTTCCAGCCATGGCCAGTCCATTAGCAATGGGACGCTTCTTATAGAAATATTTTCCAATCATAGTCAAGGCAGGCTGCAAGTTGAAGGCTAGGCCAAGACCTAAACAGGAAAAGAACCCATTGTTATTGTATGTAATACATTGAAAACCTTTCATGATAATCAGGCAAAATTATTCAAAAAAACCTAAAATGCCATTTAGAGATTCAAAGTGAAGATAAAAAGCTATTGGCAATGGAAAATGAAAGACCTTGAATACACCATTTTTGTATTTTACTAAGCTATAGAATAATTCTTTCCTGGTTCATTTAACAAAAGTTATTAAATGTCACCTCATCTACAAAAGAGAGCAGATTATATTTAGAAGTATAAATCCACTGCCTTTTATCCCTGTATCTCTTTTTAAGGTTGAACATGTATTCAAAGTCTGAGAGGGGTAGCCGTGTTCATCTGTAACTTTAAAAACAATCAGTAGTCCCTTGGCACCTTAGGGCATGTCTACACTCGGGAGTTATTTCGAAATAACTTCCCTTAATTCGAAATAACACGGTGCGTGTCCACACAGCAAGCCCTTTATATCAAAATTATTTCAGAATAACGGGCTTGTTATTTCCAAATAATAACCTCTGCTTGTGATGAAGAATAACGTTTATTTCAAAATTGTTATTTCAAAATATTGTTAGTGTGGACACTCAGTTACTGTTATTTCAAAATATTTGGCCTCCAGAGGCCTCTCACAGCTGCACTTGTGGTCACTCTGGCCACACTCCTGAAAACTCCAATGCTCCCATTCTCCTGAAATCTTTAGAGCTTCAGGCAGGAGGGAAAGGGCTTGTGGCATCAGGACAGCATTGCTAGCCTCGTGCCACACAGCAGCTTGTCTGTGAGCCATGGCAGATACCAGTGCTCCCTGCGAGGCCCCCCTGGTTGCCAGCATGTCTGTAGCCACCTCTGAAGCCGCTGTCCGGGGCAAAAGAGGGCACGGGCCTGGACTGATGTGGAGATCCTGGATCTCATCGAGATCTGGGGTGAGGAGATAAACATCCAGGATCTCTGCACCAGCAAGCAAAATGCAGATGCGTACAGTTGGATGGCTGCCAGAATGGACCAGGTATGGATGAATATTAAAGAACTACAGCAGTTCTAAACAAAGGCCAGGGAGGAAAGTTCCCACTCTGGGGTGGCACCACAGACCTGCCGCTTTTACGAGCAAAAAGATGCCCTCCTGAGAGGAGGGACAGTCACTTCCCCCCAACATTGTCAACTTCAGCCAAAATGCACCCATCGTCATTGGTTCAGAGATTTGGGCTAGGCTTCATGCACAGTGTCTCCTGGGATAACTGCCCTTGTCACTTTTCTTCACAGCTGGCCCAGCTGCAAGGGTGATGTGTCCACCACCTCCCACACCATCTTCTCGATTCCGTGAAAGCTGAAGGTGAAGGTGACCCCATGAGCACGTGGTGTGGAACTTTGAGGAAAACGCCAGGAGTTCCAGGCTGACTGGGAACTGAGGCAGACAATGTGGAAACAGTCGTCATGCCATCATTAGGCCATGAGCTCCTTAGGCATCACCATCATGGAGCTCATGGTCATGGCTAAGGACCGGTCCACCAGTCACTCCCTCCACCTGCCCCCTCCAACTCTCAGCACCTGCTCCTGCCCCCCAACTCTCATCACCCACTCCCACCCCGCAACTCCCTGCACCCGCACTCCCACCTCCAAGCCTACACATCCCCAACTCCCAGCAATTGCATCTCTCCCTGTACCTGCCCCCATGCCTCACATAGGCTGCGGAGGCCCACAAACATGTGACGATGCAGCCTCCTAGGCAGCTGTAGCCTCACAAAGGTGCCAGTCCCAATCCCATCCCTTAGGGGGAGGAGGAAATTTCTCACCCTTTCCCCATTCCAGGTTCTTTCCCCAGTCCCTCCCCTGTTGTATATTCACCAAATTAAAAATTATAGTTGTGTTTCCAAACAAACAAGGCTTTATTATTTGGTTTTCAGGGAAGTGTGAGAAGGGAGGGTAAGGGAAGGGAGGGGTGGGAGAAGTAAGGTACATAGAGGCAATGAGGAGGCCCCTTGTGGGGCGGCTCAGAGGGGAGTCTCACAGCTGGCTTTGGCTGAAACTCTTCCTCCCAGATTCCCAGATGAGCACAGACTCCTAATGAGCTTGCCGAACAGCAATGGTGCTCAGCTGCTCAAAAGCCCTGGCCAAGCACACAGACTCAGCTCCCTCCCCGCCCCAGGCAGGAAAGTCTCTCCCTTATTTCACAAAGGTTGTGGGGCACACAGCAGACTGCCACCACATGGGGGATGTTTCAGTCACTGAGGTCCAGGTGGGTGAGGAGACTGTGCAACCTCCCCTTTAGATGGCAAAAGTCACCCTCCAAAATTATGCAGCACCTACTGAGCTTGGTGTTGATGGTCTCTTTAATGGGGTTCAGCTTGCCCATGTAGGGCTTCATCAGCCAGGGAAGCAAGGATTAGGCTGCATCACCCAGGATGCACATGGAGAGGTCCACCTTCCTGACCGTGATGGTGCAGTTGGGGAGAAAAGTGGCAGCATGCACTCTGTAGAAGAGGCTCAAGTTCCTGAAGATGCAGGTATTATGCGCCTTCCCTAATCTCCTGATGTAAATGTCTGTGAACCAGCTTCTGTGGTCCACGAGGACCTGCAGCATGATAGAAAAGTACCCCTTCCTATTTATATATTCAGAGGCATGTTGATCGAGGGCCAGGATGGAGATGTGGGTGCCATTAATGCCTTTATAGCAGTTGGGGAAGCCCATGGCAGCAAAACCAGTGACGATGGGGTCAACGTTGACCAGGGTGATGCACTTCCACAGCAGGATGGCATTGATGGCTTTCACCATCTATAGAACCATAGAAACATAGACTCATTGGGTTGCAAGAGCCCTTGGGAGGTCACCAAATCTAACCCCCTTCCCAAAGCAGTGACAACCCCAACTAAACCATCCCCTGTAGGGCTTTGTCAACCAGGACTGAAAAACCTCTAGGGATGGAGATTCCACCACTTCCCTAGGTAACACATTCCAGTACTTTACCACTCTCCTAGTAAAATAGTGAAATAGTCAAACCTGCATGAGCACAGCCCTGACAGCTGATCTTCCCATGCCAAACTGGTTCTCGGTAGCTGTCCAGTTTGACGGAGTGGTAGCTGTCCAGCATGGTGAGCTTCAAAAGTGTAATAGTGACATACTTTTGGATGGCAATGGTGGGTCTCATCCAGGTGTCCCATTGCTGGAGGACAGGGGCAAGCCACTCACAGAGGTCCAGGAATGTGGCCTTTCGCATGTGGAAGTTCTGGAGCCACTGCTGGTTGTCCCATCGCTATAGGACAATGCAGTCCCACCAGTCAGAACTGGTCTCCCGCTGCCAGAATCTGTGTTAAATGGCACTTAGGGGAAGATGGAAGGGAGAGTGGTGCATGAGGAGGAACACCAGAGCTAGGGTGAAGAGGTCCCCCGGTCCATACTGGTCATCGTCCTCCTGCAGCACCGCATGGGCAGTTTGTGTGAACTGTGCCATGAGGCACAGCAGGAGGCCCAAGAGCTGGTGACTGCTTTGCAGAAGTTCTGGCTCCATGATGAAAGTGATGTGGCATCCACAAGGGCAACCAGAGCATGTGGTGTGAGTTTGGTGTCCCTGGGGGGAGTAGTCAATGCAGAAGAGGAGTGTGAGATGCAGCTGAAGAGAGGAGCCCCTTAAGCATGAGTCTCAGCTAGCCTCAGGAAATGGCTACAGGAAGTGACTGCTCTCCTGATGTCCTCCCCGGACTGCTTCCAGAGGGGCTTTAAATGTGATTCACGCTCCAATCAGTGTGGGCATGCTATTTCAATATTAATCTGCACTTTCTCAATGGTGCCTTGTTGTGTGGGTACGCTATTTCAAAATAGTTATTTCAGGAGTTATTATTTTAAAATAATTTCCCAGTGTAGACATAGCCTTAGAAACTAACATATATATAGTATCATGAACTTTCATGGTGCCCGCTTCTTCAGATGAGCTTGAGACATGTATCCGAAGTAAGGTGTAAAATTATTTTAAAATAATGATTTTGTAAGAAATACTGTCCCACAGCCACAACTGGTAGTGGAATCACTGGTTAACTGGAAACTCTATTTGGGTTGGAAAAGGGCAGTGCGGGAGGAGGTGCATAGCCGTAGCTCCTTGAACAGCAATGCATAAGTGTGTAGCAGAGCGGGGCAGGTGTGCAGTCAGAGGATCCACTTGATGACCTTTTCCTGAGATGGAGATACACGGGAGCTGCAGAGCTTTACAAGCAATGCGCCTTCTATGAGGTCTAAGAGGAAGAATTCATTCCCTTTTCTTCCATAAGCAGCTCACTCCTTCTGCCAGGTAGTGGCTCTCTGGGCTTGGCTCTAAAAAAGTAGGGATGTGAGCTCTTAAATAAAATAAAACAAACAAGAAACCCACGACATTCAGTAAGAAAGGGTTCTTTCAAAATGATTAACTTCTACTCAAGTCAATTACAGATAAACAGAAGCTTTGTTGCAGTGACAGAATAAGATGTCAATTATGTATTCCACGCTTCTTTGTTTATTCTAAAGAGATGCTTTTAAAAAATTAGAATCCCTTTGGTGGTTGGTAATTTAATATAGGCACCTTATTATCACGTTAATTCCCTCCTTTTGATCACTTCCAGAGCTTTGGTGGATTAGCAATTGTACTTTTATTCTGAGGCCAGCTGGGCCCTGTCCAGCATACTCTGAGCTGGATATGAATATATTTTTGTGAGCTTATAGAAGCTTAGTATTAGAGTTTGCATATTTACTAGACCTCTAGTTGTCTTGCTGTTTTATTCAAAGTATGGGATGTCTGAAGGTTTTAAAAAAAATCAATGAAAAATCCAATACAAATGACTCTCATAAGTGCAGTCATGAGTCAGTCAATTCCTGTATTGTAATTATAGTGCAGTACAGGATGTCACGTACATAGGGCATTTATTGAACAAAATAATCAGAGGTGCATGAAATATCCTGGGCAGTAATTTAATATCCTAAAAATCAATTTAAAGGTGCACAGTTCAGGATAGGAGAAATTAACTGGATGAGTTACCATTTTTGAACCTGTCACTTACCTCCAACCATTCCTACACATATGTATAGCTCCAGGACGCTGTTGCAGAAAGAGGAAGCAATCATTCCAAATGAACACAATATACCTCCTGCTATCATCACTGGCCGACTACCATATTTGTTCACCAAGACACTGCTTATGGGACCTATGGACAGGAAAAGGATAAATTATCCATCATGTAGTAATAAATATATTTGCAGTTGGGTGTTTTCAGTGAGTACTGTGGAAGAAAACAAGCCTTCACTCTGCATTGTTTTTAAGCAACAAGTAGCTAGAGGCAGTTTATTCGAGCAATATTGCAAGGGAAGATATCTATAAGCGGATCTTCAAATACAAAACAATTAAAAGCTAATATATATACCTTTCTATTACATATAACATTAAACAATTACTTCCCTGCCTACTCAGTTCCCATCGGACACTGTCTAATCTCAAGGCTCTCACTGAGGTAAGCATTCTACTCTAATCAGTATGGGAGAGACAGAAAGGCGAACACAGCATCTCTTCTGGCTCTCGCGTTAGCAGGAGTCAGAGTGACCTAGACTCTTGCTCTGCTACTGACAAATTTGGAAATGGTCACCCAAATCCCCTTTTCCTTAGTCCTGCTTCTACAGTACAAATCCTTCCCTGTGAGTCTGACCACACAAGAACTTACACAGTAGAAATCAAAAGGATACTCACTTCAAGGATGCATTTGCAGAGACTGGCCTTATGTAATAACCTATAGACATGGAAGTCCATTAAAGGATGTAGACATAAGTGAAGCAAGCTTGTTAATCATAGTTCTCAAAGACAACAATGGGCCTAGTCAATGGAAGTTATGGGTATGCAAGAAATGCAGGATTAGGCCCACTGTCTGAGAAGCATGGAATTGAGAAATCAAACTCAGAGATTTAAACAGATCTTGCACTGTGGTCTGATGCTTACTGAATTTATGTTCTCATGAAATCTCCAAAAAGAACACCATTTTGCCAACCTGGAAAGAATCACTGTGGCACTCTGTATCTCTATATCAAAACTATAGTTAACAGAGTGGAAGAGATTTGTAAAAGAGTTTGATTACAACAGCTTTTGATAGAAAGAAAGATCTTTCTGAACTCCCAGTAATCACTCTGTTAACTAGGACAACATACTTAATTATGCCAGTGAGGTTACTCACTTGCTTAACACGTTAAAATGGGTCATATATAACTGATTTATAAACTATATGGCTACAGACCTGGTTTTTAGTTTCAAATGTTATTTATTCCAGTGTAATTTTGTCCATACCAAACAAAGAATCAGTATGCAATCTGTCATGATGTGCTCTGTATGTTCTTTAAAGACTCACAACAGAAATACATGGTGTTAAAAATCAAGATAAAGAAGTTACCAGAGCTGCTTTAGGAAGCATGCACTACACCTGATTATGACCCTGACCAATATTAACAGTTTTTCTTCTGTAAGCATTATATTAATTGAATTTAAAAACCAAGTGAGAAAATAGAAAAAATGCAAATATTTAAAATGGTAACAAAAGTGTCACTAGATATAAAATGAAATGCTAAGCATTATATTTAGGTTTACTGCAAATCATTCTGGTTCCAACTGTGTATTGGTTGCTGTATATATTTCCTATAATAAACACCTGAAGAAATATACATCCACATTTTTATTGACAGCCTAAATCAAGTTCTCAAAAACTAGTTACATACATTGTTTGAAGTTCATCCTAGTTTGGGTTCAGTGACAGATCTATCTTAAAACTGATACTATTGGTGATACAAATGTTTTAGGCCCATACTATTCCATCAGTATTTTCAGCATAAGTCTTCATTCACCCTGTTCGAAGTAGGTTGACCAGATAGCAAGTGTGAATAATTGGGACAGAGTGGCAGTAGTAGGCGTCTATATGAGACAAACCCCCAAATATCAGAAATGTCCCTATCAAATTGGGACATCTGGTCATGCTAGATCAGGCCTGGGCACAATATGGTCGACAGGCCGAATTCAGACCACCAAGCCACCAGATTTGGCCTGCAGACGTAGCAGGACACCCCAGATAAATTCCCCTACTTGCCCCGCAGCCTTGCACACCACTCAGAAAAGCAGCTGTGGATCCATTTCTCTTTAAAAACTGCAAGCCCTGAGGGGAGGGGGGAAGGCTTTAGGCATAACTCCCATCCCCAGCACAATCCTATTGGCCGACTTCTGGTCAGAAACTGGCCAATGGGAGCTGCCTGTTTGAATAACAGGCAGCACTCAAAGCACTGTGTCCTTCTCTCCTCTGGCTCAGTTATTTACACAAACACATGGTTGTGCAGCCTGTGCAGGCATGGGGAAGGCAGGCAGTCTGAGAAAATTTAAGCTCTGCAAGCATTTAGCTCTGCAGGCTGGTAAGTCTCCTGGCTATAGCCTGTCTTAGGCACCCCAAATCCACTCTTCCCCAACCCTCTGCCCCCCTCCTGCACCCATACCCCGTCCCAGATCTGGCAACTCAAATCATAATCCTCTTCTACGTTAGGTCACAAACCAAACCCTCACATCCCTGTCCCCTGCCCTAGGTCACAACTGCCTCCTTCACTCAAACTCCCTCCCAGATCCCACTCTCCCTCCTGCACCCCAGTCCCTTACCTCAAGCTCCCTTCTGCACCCAACTTTCATCCTAGACTGCACACCTCTGCCATTAATATCATGGAAGAGTGCAGCTCTTGACCACTTTCAGAAATCTTGGGGTGTCCCCCGCATCAAAAATTATTGCCCACTCCTGTCCTAGATGGAAGTTCAGTTTAAAAAATCAGTTTAAAAATGCAATCCTTTGTTTAATCACACTGAAGCTTGGATAATTGCCATAAGGTTTCCAGCAGAGTTTAAGAGATTTGGATAGTTTTAATTTCTGGTCAGGTCAGAAACACTTTGGGTACGTCTAGACTACATGCCTCTGGCGACATAGGCATTTAGATTAGAGTACCTGGCATAGGAAAATGAAGTGTAAATTTAAATAATCGCCGCTTCATTTAAGTTTAAATGGCTGCCGTGCTGAGCCGATCAGCTGTTTGTCGGCTCAGCACGGTAGTCTGGACACTCCACGGTTGACAAAGGCATTTGTCCCCCTATGCCGGGGCAGTCTGGACGCGCTGGTGCCTCCTTGCATGTGGGCATTGGTTAACCTCCCAGGTATGCCTCATCCCAGGAACGCGGCAGTGAAACATTCGTATAGGGTCTTAATTAACGTTTAACTGCCGTGTGTAGCCATGTGGCAATGAGTTCAGGCTAGTGACATTTCAAAATGGCGACCGGACGGGAACATGCAAATAAAGCCCAGGATATTTAAATCCTGGGCTTCATTTGCAACTCCAGTCACCTCATTTGCCTACCTAACTCGAATTAACAAGCTAATGTAGACATACCTTGGGAGACTACCCAGCCCCGACAACAAAGAAACAAGTTCAGCAGTTCCTAGGTTTAACCGGGTATTATTGTCAATTTGTGCCAGGGTTCGCAACAATAGCAGCCCACCTCTCAGACCTAGTGAAGAAGACAAGGCCCAATAAGGTCTAGTGGTCACCTCGGTGTGAAGACGCGTTTCTAGAACTGAAAGAGCGATTGAGCCATCCTCCTGCCTTAGTGCAACCAGATTTTTCTAAACCTTTTATGCCTCAGGGACAGGTGTGGGAGCGGTATTATCCCAAAAGGTGGAGGGGGCCAAACATCCTGTCCTCCACATAAGCTGGAAACTTTTGCCTAGCGAACAGAATTACGCTACGATCGAGAAAGAGGCCCTGGCAGTAAAATGGGCAATTGACTCACTAAGGGTATGTCTACACTACAGCGCTAGTTCGAACTAACTTAGTTCGAATTAGTTAATTCGAACTAAGCTAGTTCGAACTAACGCGTCTAGAACTAAAAACTAGTTCGAACTAGCGTTTTGCTAGTTCGAACTAGTAAGTCCACATTGAGTGGACTCTGAACAGGGCTTAAGGATGGCCGGAAGCAGTGCCGGCAGGGCATAAAAGGAGGACTTAGAGCATGGAGATGCTGTCTCAGGCTAGCCGAGGGCTGCGCTTAAAGGGTCCCGACCCCCACCCCGGACACACAGTTCTAAGGGGTGCCCCGCTTGCAAAGAAGTTCTGGCTTGGAGTGCCCTGAGTGCCCACACTGGGCACATCACACCCCTCGGCCATCAGCCCGGCTGCACTTGCCGCAGGCTGCCATCTGGGGAGAGGGAGTAATTGGGGGGCTGCAGGAGAGCTTCCACCCCCAGAAGCCCGCAGAGCCAGCCCAGTCCTCCTCATCGGGGGCTCGTACCCCATTCCTCCCTCACCTCCTTCCACTTACCCTTCCTTAGCCCCCCTTCTTATTGATGTACAAAATAAAGATAACGTTTCTTCCAACATTGACTCTGTCTTTATTGAAAAAAAACTGGGGGAGACTGGGAAAAGGAGGTGGGAGAGGGGAAGAGAAAGGCTGGGAGAGGGGAGGGCAACTAACATGATCAGGGGTTGGGAACAGGTCCCATATGAAGAGAGGCTACAGAGACTGGGACTTCTCAGCTTAGAAAAGAGGAGACGGAGGGGGGACAGGATAGAGGGCTCTAAAAGCAGGAGTTGGGTGGAGAGGGTGCATACAGAAAAGCTCTTCATTAGTTCCCATAAAGAAGGACTAGAGGACACCAAAGGAAAGGAATGGGTAGCAGGCTTGAAACTAGTAAGAGAAAGTTGTTCTTCTTGACAAAGCAAATAGTTAACCTGTGGAACTCCTTGCTGCAGGAGCCTGTGAAGGCTACAACTAGAACAGAGTTTAAAGGGAAGTGAGATAAAGTCATGGAGGTTGGGTCCATGGAGTCCTATTAGCCAGAGGGTAGGAGTGGTGTCCCTGCCCAAAGTTTGTGGAAGGCTGGAGAGGGATGGCACGAGACAAATGGCTTGGTCACTGTCTTCGGTCCATCCCCTCCAGGGTCCCTAGGGTTGGCCGCTGTTGGCAGACAGGCTACTGGGCTAGATGGACCTTTGGTCTGACCCAGTACGGCCATTGTAAGCTCAGGGCTCAGGGTCGGGGGTCTCAGTGGACCCCCTTGATTTTCATGCACACCTGGTCCTGGGTGGCCAGGCTGGCAGCTCTCCTGCCCTAGACGGCCACTTTCCTGTGCCTAGTGAGGAGATCGTG